GTAGATTTGAAATGACACTTGTGAATTTTGTTTGTCATATACAATTCTCACATAAAGTGTGCTCTCGGTATTTGCATATTCATCAGCATATTTTGCATAACATGAATTTATTTTATCTTCTATATTTTTTAACGCAGTCTGTAGAGAAGATGAAAGGTCAACTTGTATTAGCTCAATTTCTTCCCACATTTTTCGTTTCCCTTCAGATATATAATCTATATGAAACCTTACAATAAATGGAAAACTTTTATCTTCTACAGACACAAATTTTATTCTACGAAAGCCAATAGCTTTTGTGACAGATGGGTCTCTTAGCCATCTTAATGGGTAGTCAAAACGATAGCCTTCATGCTTTACGGTCTCTGTCTCAAACTTTTGACCGACATTAGTAAAAAGTTCATCTAATGGTTTAGTTGTAGCAACTCTTGAATTTTCTTTTTCTATTGGAAGCATATTTTATCTAGAATAAAAAATGTCGAAAGATATTGCTTCCATGAGAGAAATACAACACAACCGACAACTCATTATGCAAGCTCTAAATAAGAACACAACAAACTTTTCAAACTATTCTAAGATATCTGAGTCATTGAAAGAAGGAAACTTAAAACTGACATTAAACCCAATGACAGATGAGTTTCTATTTCAAGACAATAAGAACCATACTGTCTGTATAAATCCAACAAAAGGAACTTTAAACGAGAAACCTATAAATGAACTTCTTTTGAAAGCAGATGTTGACAACAAAGCTGACAAAGAATATGTAGACGATGCAATAGCAAAAGAAGAAGAAAGAGCTAACAATGCTTATGCAACAAAAGAACATACTCATCCTGAACTAGCAGACAAAACATATGTTGACAATAAAATGTCAAGTGAAGTGACAAGAGCTGAAAACGAATATTCTAAAAAGACTCATATACATTATATTAACCAAATACCAAGTCTTAAGGAAACATTAGAGACAAAAGCAGATAAGACTCATACACATTCTATATCTGATATTACAAACTTACAAGAAACCTTAAACAGGAAAAGTGACGTTGGACATACACATACCATTGCAAATATTACAAACTTACAAGAAACCTTAAACAGGAAAAGTGACGTTGGACATACACATTCTATATCTGAAATAACAGACTTAAACGTTAGCCTTGAGAAGAAAGCAGATAAAACATATGTTAACGAAATATACCAAAGTTTAGTTGGAACAAAAAATATTGAAACTATTGTTGGTGACTTTTCTGTCAATGAAGAAAACAAATATTTTAGATGGCAGTTGGTACAGTCCTTAAAAAATGGTACACGGTATAAACTCATTCCGAAAAATAACAATGAAATGTATGTAAGCTATAAAAAGAATGATGGTACACAAGTTAAAGTTCCATTAGACAACAACTGTTACTTGAACTTATATGGAGACGAACAAAAGAAATATTTAAGAGTTTATGAAATGGCAGATATGACATTGCCTGACCCAGCTCCAATACCATATTATTATGACTATGGATATGACGGCGGAGCACTACATGCAGATGAACAAAAGTTAACATTATATTTAGATTATTATAGATATAAAAGATATAATGCAATAGAAAAAACGAGAATAGTATATTATTATATAGATGACAAAAATAAATATTATAGTCAAGACTTTACCTACCCTGAAAACATAAGATTATATTATAAAAAATATTCTAACACAAACCAGAAGAAACCCGAAATGGTTGCGCTATATTTTAAGTTCAAAAGAGACAATCCTATATTATCTCATATGTTTGATTTAATGAACCCAGTAGGTTCTATTTATACATCTATGGATGCAAGAGGTCCTCAAGTAATGTTTGGTGTTGGTGCATGGGAACAAATAGTCGACAGGTTTTTGTATTGTGCAAACTCTTCAAAGGAAACAGGTGGAAGTAAAACGATTTCAGGTGAAAATTTACCTGCACACAGTCATTACATAAATTTAAGTACATCTCAAGAAGGTTGGCATAGGCATAGATATTGGGTTGGACAGGAATGACAAAAGGTAAAGGATATGATGTTAAAGACGACGTTAAGTTTGCTATAAATTGTTACTGGGATGACACTTGGGGAGAAGGAGACCATACACATCACGTTTCAGGATATACGCAAACAACGGGACAAAGTAAAGAATACATGCCACCTTACATGACAGTTTACGCATGGTATAGAATTGCTTAGTCGTCATTTTCAACTTCTTTAGCATATTCGTCAGGAGTTGTCTTATATTTGTTAGGAACTGTCTTTGAAAGTATACCACCTTGAACTTTGACAAGTTTGAAACGAGGTCTGACAATAGTAGTTTTATCTTCTGCTTGCAGTGTGTACATTTTGCCATGTTTGCCTAAAACTTCATAATATTCTCTTGTATACTTTCTTCTATTTTTACGAACACGAATGTGAGTACCTGTCGAGTTCCCATTGTTGTCATAGTCAATAGTATTTTCATATGGGTCGCGTTTAGGTATTTCTATTTTTACTTTGTCACCCTTCTGAAGTTTGAAGCCCGGCATTCTTTCTTGTTTGTCTTTTTGACTAAATTATTAAATATATAGTCTTTCTCTAAGTCAGGGTTGTTTTTCATTTCTTCGGGGGAGTGGTTTCCCAAACCTTTTTGTTTACGGTTATTGTAAATATTTAAAACTTGTCTCATCTTTGCCATGGAGAAGTGTCTATATTTGTCGTCATATGACATTTCATTTGCTTCACCACCTTGTGGTTGGTTTAAGTCTCTTAACATTTTTATACAACCGTCAATGACACCAAGAGCAGAATGGTTTTGGTCGACAATGAAATATTGGTTTACATTTTTTGAACGCAGATAGTTTTTAATATCATCTGATTTGAAAGAACTTTCACAGTCAGATGTCAGTTTTGTTGGATGGTATTTGTCAACGAATATTGTCAAAGCAGTTTTCACATCTAAAATATTTTTGGACCATAATGGTATGGCTTCACAGTATCTTGTGTTTTGACCGACAAATATTAACCAGTATGGTGGTCCATCTTCTCTATACCTCGGAATGTTTTCCAAGATATCCATAAACCAAGCATTTGGTGTTGAACTAAAGATTTTTACCATGAGTGCTTTCTTTGTCGCTTTAGAAACATAGGGGTCCTTGTTTGGATTCGTCATTTTTTACCCTATAAGAAATGGGTTTATTTGGCGCATTAGCAGGAGTTGCATCCAGATTTTTGCCCGCAGTGGGAACAATAGCCAGAGGTGCATTTGGAATTGGAAGGAAGATTTTGAGTACATTAGGTATACTTAAAGAGAAAGCACAACCTATTATACAAACTGTACAGAAAGGTTGGGAGGTAGCACGAGATGCAACAAATCTTATTCCAAATCCTGAAACAAGAGGAAAAGTTCAAGGATGGATGGACAATGTAGGAAGACAAGCAGGAAACTATTATAACAAAGCAAATGACTACTATAACCAAGCAGGACACTATATGGACCAAGGTGAAAGATTCTTTAACAGAGGATATAACCATGCAACAATGGGTAAACAATAACCAACCTCAACCGCCTCAAACGTGGGGAATGTAAAATTTTTTACTGAGATGAAATGAACAATACAGCATTGAGACAAATGGGTTCAAGATGGATTTGTCGACTTCCAGCAGTTACACCACGTGTTTGTCAAGTTCTTCCTATACCTCAGGAAGTTTTAGACCGACTTAAAAAACAACAAACAACCAGTTGAAAACAAACCAAACTAAAATTTTTTACGGACCTGAAAATGACCGAAGAAGTTGAAACGGTAGATTTGACACCACAAACAAAAAGTTCAGAACCATTGTCAAAAACTGTCAAAGAACTTACAGATGAAGAGAAAAATTCAATAATAGAAAGTGCCAGGTCTGGAAATACAAACCCTAACTATAAAGTCACTTTTCATAGAAATGGAACGGCTAGTATCTCAAAAAAGAAACAGACTCTCACAAATAAAATATTGAAGTCTGAAGGAGCTTTTGAGACAACAGATGGAAAAGTTTACTTCACTGACCAACAGTTCATTATAGAACATCTCATTGACTTAGAGTCGAAATATTCTAAACTTTACAACAAACACAAAAAGTTGAAAGGAAAACAAAAACAAATGGCATATGATATTTATGAAGATGTTGACGACACAACTGTTCCTGCAGGTGGGGCACAGCCCGAGGAACCGAAAAGTGACGAAAAACCGATAGAAGAAGAAAAACCAAAAACTGAAGATAAACCAAAACCAAAGTTTAGTTTCCAAACTAAACCAAGTCAACCTTCATTAGCTGGTATGGGTTGGCGTCAAAGACTTATGGCAGCAGGCGGTTATGTAAAGTAAAGAAAAAAATATTTTTTTATTTTTATAAAAATGCCCCCATATAGAATGGATAGAAAATCTGCTAGAATAAAAGCAGAGTTACAAAAATATGGTTGGAGAGTTTCGAAGAATTTTAAATATAGGAAGGGAAGACCCATAAAAGTCTATGACAAATTGTCTGGTCTTCGCTACGAAATGGATTTGGAAACAGCACGTGCCAATTATCCAAACAGACTAGAGAGGTTAGAAGAAGAACGTCTTATGGACATGCCTTTCGATGTTAGTGAACCTCAAGTTGAAGGACACGACGGCTTTGCCAGATTCTACTGGAAACATGACGAACAATTGCATCCTTTGAGAAGGAAAAAAGGTAGTGCAGAGGATGGTCATGCTCCCATGGAAAGAACAAGATATGCATATGAAAAGTACCGTGAAGTTAGAAGTCAAATTACATCTGGTCGAACCTTTACAGTAAACTTTGACGAAGGAAAGAACAAAGAAGGCTTCATGGGAGTACTTGCTGCAATTCAAGACGGAAATAAGAAAGGACACAATCTCAAATTGACCATAACAGATTTGGATGGTCACATTTACTATGCACATGGCAATGAACAAACAGCCGCAAAACTTCTTGACGCTTTCAAGACTACAAAGAGAGAACAAATGGTTGACTCAGACTCAGACATTTTGAATGCAATTGAAGGAATTGCAAGTGTCAAGTTCGAATGGTACCAACCTAACCCTCAAGCAGTCAGACAACATGCTGGATACTTCCCCTTCATAAATAAGTCTGACATTGACTTGACAAGGTATGGAATTTACAATTCAATTGAAACAATTGTCAATGAACCTTGTATTCTCACATGTCTCAGGAACTCTGGTCTTGTTACAGAAGAGAAGATGAAGTATCTTGAGTCATGTGTGAAGACAAGGTACATTCTCAGAGGTCAATTGGCAAAAATTGCACCGTTGGCAAATGTCAATATCCGAGTCAACATACCTACAGCTAAAGGTTCTTCACATGACGACTATGTTGTTGAGTTCAATTTACCATGGTTGAAGATTGTAATTGTCCACAACCACTTCATGTTGAACGAAAGTCTTACAAACCCATTGTTCGGAAAAGGCAAGTGCAACATTGTCAGAGCTGTAAACATTCTTTTCGAGAAAGGTTTGTTGGAACCAATTCCAGATGACAAGCTGACAGAAACTTTTGTACCAAAAGACGAAACAAACTTTTCACTGTTAGCAAGACCAAAAGTTGTTCCAGACAAAGTTCTAGTACAAAAGAAGTACACAATTCCACAAGGAGTTGGATTGTTCGGATACCAACCTGAACCAGAAGAACTTCCAATGAGGTTGCAAGAACTTCAAGATGCTATAAATAAACTTCCATTGAGACATCCAATTGACGTCAAATTGTATTGGAGAGCATCTGAGTTAGGTCAGAAGGTTTTATATGAAACAGGTTGCTTCGACGATGTTTATGAGATAACAGGAGAAGTTTCTCAGAAGATAAGAGACTCACTTGAATTTCCACAAACTGGACCAATTGGTTGCGACAAGTTCGACTCAAACGAAAAGATATACTATGTCGACCTTAACGCTGCATACATGAGGTTTGTCCAATATATTCCGACTGGAATTCCAAACGAAGATGGTGAGTTCCCGGGAAGGAACTATACAGTTGGAAAAGTCATACAACAACTGTATGATATTAGGAAAGCTTCAAACCCCAAACTTGCAATGACACTCAAATTGCTTATGAATTCGACATGGGGATATTCCATTAAAAAACCTCAAGAGATGAAGAGTAAACATTATGAGAAGGTCGACAACTTTGTTGAAAGGTTTTCTCCTTTTGTTTTGAAGTACGAATTCACTCAAGGTCAAAGTGGCTTAGTAACCACATTAAAACCTATTGTCGAACATTGGTCTTACCCTCAGTTCGCAAAAGCAGTCCTTGACAACTACAACAAATTCTTCTCCGAAGTCAAATCCAAAGTTGTGGTTTACTATGAGAACATTGACGCACTCATGACGAACGAAGAAGGATACAACAAACTCATTGAAATGGGAATGGTTGGTGAAAAGATGGGCTGTTTTAAGCTAGATAAGGTATTTTCCGAAGTTCATGTAATATCGAAAAGGAAATATTGGGGCATACTTGAAGACGGCACAGAAATAAAACATTGCATGAAATAAAAAATTATTTTTTAAAAAGTGACATTTTTAAAATTTTATTTGAAATGTACGCTGAGTTTGTTGGAGAAGACCGTTAGGAAACTTGTTTGTTATATGAGAAATATGAAATGGCATACCATTTTAAAACAATATATTTTTACATATATTAAATGCTTCAGGTTGAAAAACAAAGAACAAAAGTAGCAGATACAAAACCGTTAGACTATATCTTTACAAATGCTGGTAGGAATCTATCAGATGAAGAAATTTCATCCCGAGCATACAGGTTTGACTATCCAATTCGTTGGCTTCAAAGTCCTTCAGATGCAAAGGCAATAGGATTTAGAAGAGTTTTGTTTTCAAATAGAACTAACGCATTTATGTTCGCAGTATATTTTCATGGGCAGTATAAAGGTTCTGATGGTCTAATAGACAAATTTGACGAAATGAAAATCTTTACAGTTCGTTCAGACGAAAGTCTTGAGAAAACTCTAAATGACTTTCAAACTCAAATGAACAAATATTATTGGGAATTTCAAAAAAAATACAACTCTTTACTAAATGGAACATACTATCTGAAACTAGAATATGACAAGATGAACTCCACCGTTTCATTTCAAAAGATTGAAATTAACCCTCCAAGAGATACAGAGTTTTTATTTTGGGAAGTAGACAAACGTTCTTGGGCACAATTTCTTCGGTTACTAAACCAGAACGAACCATTACCACCAGATGGTCCATTTAAATTTATACTTCCACCAGCAGATTTGATGGTTTATAGAAACGTGTTTGACCCTCAAAATGTTATGTGTCATGCAAGTTTCAGTTCAAGCAACAATAGTTTTCTATGTATTGGTAAGGACTTTTATGACTTTGCTTCTAAATTCTACGAACCATCTAGTAACAGTTTCTCTGACTTTCAAGTTTGGTTCACAACAAATGGTGTGCAACATATTATTCCATTGTACTATGACTTTTATCTCGAATTGTCTTTCATATATAACTACAGAAAAGTGCTGAAAAAGTATTGAAAAATAATGTTTAGGTGAAGAGGTGACATCTCACCTCTTTTTTCACCTGTTTTCTCACCTGTTATTTTATAACCGTTTTACATGAATTGTACGATGTATATTTGAAATCTTAAACAGTTTCGTAGCTTCTATTTCTTCTTTTAGTACATCGAATGTTTTAACGATACCGAAGGTTTCTTTATACTTCTTCTTGACGTCAGATAGAAGGAAATCGTCAGCAGTTGGATAGTTTTTGTTCAGAAATTCTAACATGTTCATTTTATTTTCTGCTGGCTTCTCTGCTTCTTTCTTTAAATCTGCATAGTCGTTTCTCATTCTTTCTATCTCTTTGACGGAGTAGTTATATTTCCTAATTGCTGCTTTACATTTAGAACATTGCGGGTTCATTTTTGCGTTATATTCTGAAACCTTACCTGCTAAAACAACTAAGGCGTCAATGGTTTTCTTTAAATCTGAAGCAGTTGGTTTTATCTGTTCGTTCCATACTTTACCTCTTCTATCTTTATCTCTTATTTCCCAAACACATTTTGCAACTAATGAAACAAAGTTGTCGTAGGTCTTAAATTCTTCAGATTTATATATGTCAGAAACATTCTTATAAACCATGTCGCAATCTTTGTCCATAACCTTATGGTTGCAATGAAAACCAAGGAATTCATAATTTACCTTTCGTATGAACTTCTTTATTTCTACTGAGTCAGTTGGTTTCACTTCAATTTCGTCGAATTCAGGAATAGTGAGTTTTTTTGTTGGATTTCAGGTAGTTTAGGCAAATGGTCAATAATGTCCTGCATTTCATAAAGATATTCTTCATTTGTTTCATCTTTCGCACTACAGTCTAAATTACTTGTTAAAAGTTCTTGCTTTATCTTCTGGATTTTGTTTCGAAAGTATATGAAGAAGGAATGAAGCTTTTCATCTCTACTAACATAGATGTTGGATTCATGACTAACGAGTTTGGTGCTGTTGTTTGAATTGTTGTTGTGCCGATTGTTGACATTTCTGTTCTTTTATACAAAATAAAAAAATAAATAAAATAAAACTAACTTTATTTTTTATTTCATGAAAATTCATGAGGTGAGAAAACAGGTGAGAAAAGAGGTGAAATCTCACCTCTTCACCTAAATTATATTTTTGGGTCATTTACACTCATTACGATGAAGAAATCATGACAAAACATTTACGTTCATGTTTGACAAAACATTTACGAAGAAGAAGTTTCGACAAAACATTTACGATGAAGAAGTTTCGACAAAACATTAATATATAAAATTCATGAAAATTCATGAGGTGAGAAAACAGGTGAGATGTCACATTCTAACATAAACTTTATTTTTACTGAATTTAGCAACAACTTTCTCTCAATTGGAGCTGTAGCATACTCTTTGCGTAAGCGGTTCAGACCTTCTTCGAAGTCTTGGTCTCTCTTGGACTGAGATTGGAATTGTGGGGCAGGTTTTTGCATAAACATCCAAGGGTTGGAGCTGTAGCATACTCTTTGCGTAAGCGGTTCAGACCTTCTTCGAAGTCTTGGTCTCTCTTGGACTGAGATTGGAATTTGAATTGGGGTGGAGCTTGCTGGAACATCCAAGGGTTGGGGAAGTAAGGCATAGGCTGAGGAGGGTAGTTCGGGAAGCCTTGTGGTAGGTAGTAACCTTGAGGTGGAAATTGGTAGTAATTTGGATTGAGATTGGAATTGCTGGAACTGAGGTGCAGGGGCTGGTGCTTTCGGTTCTTCTGGATTGAGATTGGACTCGGTTGGTGGGACGTCGGACATTCGTTTGTGGCTTAACCGTCGGACCACAACGATAAAAATCTCTGCTACTAGCAGTACTGCTACTGACAGTAGCAGTACTTTTTCTGACAGTAGCAGTACTTTTACTGACAGTAGCAGTACTTTTACTGACAGTAGCAGTACTTTATCGTCGAAAACCCTCTCAAATTTTCCTTTTTACTGCTCCTAGCAGTACTGCTACTGACAGTAGCAGTACTTTTTCTGACAGTAGCAATGGTCGAGGTCGAACCTACCGACGAGGCAATTTACCTAATTGAAATTAACGAGCTTGTTAAAGACTTCCTCAGGCAGAATGTAAAAGGCAAGCTTGTTAACTGTTGGATAACGGGAAGGGCTGCCTTGAATCTCGAGACTTCGACTGGAATTCCAATTCAAATACCAGACGGGACAGCCTACGACGACATAAAGGACGCCAAAAGAGAAGCTCTTGTTAAGTTCCTAAACAAGCGTCCTTGGATAAAAATACCAAACAGAGAGAGTCCAATTCCACGAATTATACAAATTCTCAAGGGTCTCCTTCACTTCTTGGGTCAACCATTCTACATAACCTGTGAAGGCGACATCCAACCAGTTCAGTAAACATCTCATTTTAACTCACTTTTTTATGTTTTTTGTGAAAAAGGTCAAAAATAAATTGTTTTCATGAAAATTCAAGAGGTGAGAAAACAGGTGAGAAAAGAGGTGAGATGTCACCTCTTCACCTAAACATTATTTTTCAATACTTTTTCAGCACTTTTCTGTAGTTATATATGAAAGACAATTCGAGATAAAAGTCATATACAATGGAATAATATGTTGCACACCATTTGTTGTGAACCAAACTTGAAAGTCAGAGAAACTGTTACTAGATGGTTCGTAGAATTTAGAAGCAAAGTCATAAAAGTCCTTACCAATACATAGAAAACTATTGTTGCTTGAACTGAAACTTGCATGACACATAACATTTGAGGGTCAAACACGTTTCTATAAACCATCAAATCTGCTGGTGGAAGTATAAATTTAAATGGACCATCTGGTGGTAATGGTTCGTTCTGGTTTAGTAACCGAAGAAATTGTGCCCAAGAACGTTTGTCTACTTCCCAAAATAAAAACTCTGTATCTCTTGGAGGGTTAATTTCAATCTTTTGAAATGAAACGGTGGAGTTCATCTTGTCATATTCTAGTTTCAGATAGTATGTTCCATTTAGTAAAGAGTTGTATTTTTTTTGAAATTCCCAATAATATTTGTTCATTTGAGTTTGAAAGTCATTTAGAGTTTTCTCAAGACTTTCGTCTGAACGAACTGTAAAGATTTTCATTTCGTCAAATTTGTCTATTAGACCATCAGAACCTTTATACTGCCCATGAAAATATACTGCGAACATAAATGCGTTAGTTCTATTTGAAAACAAAACTCTTCTAAATCCTATTGCCTTTGCATCTGAAGGACTTTGAAGCCAACGAATTGATAGTCAAACCTGTATGCTCGGGATGAAATTTCTTCATCTGATAGATTCCTACCAGCATTTGTAAAGATATAGTCTAACGGTTTTGTATCTGCTACTTTTGTTCTTTGTTTTTCAACCTGAAGCATTTAATATATGTTAAAAATATATTGTTTT